GAAACACAACACATTGTTGCATGTTAATACTAATCCATCAAGAGGCAACGCTGAACAGTCAAGTGACGATACTAATGGCTCTTCTTCAATTACGGTAAATTCAAGTCAGCAGACTACAACAAATCAGACTACACTTCTGCCAACAGCGGTAATCATGGTGCGTGATAGGAACAATAGCTTACAACCATGCAGAGCTCTTGTAGATACCGGTGCCCAATCAACGCTCATTTCGGAATCATGCGTTCAGCGACTTCAGTTGAATAGGTCGAATGATAAAACTGCTCTATGTGGAGTTGGTGGAAACACTACAAGTTACACCAGGGGAAAAGTACAATTGGAAATCTTCGCTAAGGATATCAACAGAACAATCATAGTTCAGACTTATTGCTTATCGAATCTGACACAATATATTCCGTCACATACGATAGTGAACCAGAAGCTCGAATATTTTAAAGATTTGAAACTGGCCGATCCTGCTTACCATAAACCAAACCACATCGACATCATTTTAGGAGCTGACGTTTTTCCCCATTGTATATTAGGGGAAAAGGTATCCCATCCATCAGGTTCTCCAACAGCACTTAGCACAATATTCGGTTGGGTGATTATGGGAAATGTCAACAGACAACCCGAAAAGTCCATTATGATTGCCCATCTACATACTGGCTTGGACGAACAACTTCAACGTTTTTGGGAGATAGAACAATGTGATGTTCAATCAAAGCATTTAACTCCTGATGAGGAACATGCCGAACAACATTTCAAGGAAAATGTCCGGAAACAACCTGATGGACGATATATGGTGAAACTTCCGTTCAAAGCTAATTCTTTTCAACTTGGTGAATCGAAGACAGCGGCAATGCGAAGACTTGAATCCATGGAACGACAGTTTGACAAGAATGGTAATCTCAAGGTCGAGTTCCACAAATTCATGAACGAATACATAGAGCTCAATCACATGGAAATTGCAACTAAGAAAACGGAACATCAAGTTTACTACATGCCACATCATGCAGTTTTGAAACCATCAAGTACCACTACCAAATTACGCGTTGTTTTCGATGCATCTTGCAAAAGTTCAAACAACACATCGTTGAATGATCATCTCCTTGTTGGACCTACAGTACAAAATGATTTGTATTCGATTCTGCTAAACTTTCGAAAACACAAGATAGGTTTTACCGCAGACATCGAGAAGATGTACAGACAGGTGCTCATACATCCAGATGATAGATCATATCAGAGTATTTTATGGCGTGATTCTCCAAAGGATCCACCCATCACATATCATCTCAGGACAGTTACATATGGAACTGCATCGGCTCCATTTCTAGCTACCCGTACATTAATGCAAGTTGCTCTTGATAACTCACAGGAGTATCCAGAAGAGTCTAACGAGATCATCAACAAGTTTTACGTAGACGACTACATGTCTTCCGCTCCAGACTTAGAATCGGCTATTTCACGTCATAGGACCCTATGCACAGTTTTGTCCAAATCAGGTTTCAACCTTCGCAAATGGTCAACGAACTCAAGGGAATTGTTGGATAAAATTGATCCTCAAGATCGAGCTTGTTCATCAGAGCTGATAATTGATCAGTCAGAAACGGTAAAAACTCTAGGACTGCTTTGGAACACATCAACGGATTGTTTTCAATACAGCGTGTGTTTTGGCGAAATTACTGGAATAATCACGAAACGTCGCGTGCTATCGGATATTTCAAGAATTTACGATCCAATTGGCTGGCTATCTCCGGTGTTAATTAAAATGAAAATCTTCATGCAAAAACTTTGGATTAAAGGTGTCAATTGGGATGAAGATCTACCAAGTGATCTTAAAGCGGAATGGCTACAACTTCAACATCAAGTTGAGAACATACGTGATCTACAAATTCCCAGATGGTTTAATTTCAACGTTGAAGATCGTATTGAACTTCACGGATTTGCAGACTCATCGGAATTAGCCTATTCTACTGCTATTTATATTCGTGTCATAAAACCAGATGGATCAATAACAACTAGTCTAATAACATCGAAAACCAGAGTTACCCCGATTCGACAAATAACACTTCCACGCTTAGAGCTTTGTGCAGCTCATCTCATGGTAAAAGTTATGGTTAAAGTGAAACAAGCTTTAGAATTGGAGAATGTACCTACATATGGTTGGACTGATTCAACTGTCGTACTAGCATGGTTGAGTGATCATCCACGGCGGTGGAAAACCTTCATTGCAAATAGAACATCTCATATTATCAACATAATTCCAGCAAGTCAATGGCGTCATATTACATCGAAACAAAATCCAGCCGATTTAGCTACGCGTGGCATCTCTTCATCGGAAATTAAAGACAACAGTTTATGGTGGCAAGGGCCACACGTTTTGCAAGGTTTCACAATGGAAGCTTCAACAATGTCAACAGCATCTATCCCATCGAACATTGATTTAGAGGAACGCAAGGTAATCGCAACAGCAACATCCGTCAAGCAAACAGATTTGTTTCACCTATTCTCAAGTTATGACAAGCTACTTCGTGTAACTGCTCTGATTTTACGTTTTTTTGGTAATTGTAAATGCAAATCTCAACGTCAAACTGGTTTCCTCACTACGACGGAGCTTCAAAACGCTCACAGAATGCTTGTAAGAAAAGCTCAACATGAAACATATGCAGCGGAAATTCGTATGTTAGCATCGAACAAACAGATTCCTTCTGGAAACAAGCTTGCCGGTCTATCTCCATTTCTCGACAACTTTGGAATCTTGCGTGTAGGTGGTCGCCTTGAAAACGCTTCAATCAGTTACGATCAGAAGCACCCATATATTCTACATAAGAACAACATATTAACACAACTCATCGTTCGGCACTATCACACAAAGCATTTGCATGCGGGAAAACGCCAGCTGCAGTACTTATTAGGTTTGAAATATTGGATTCCTGAAGTATCACAAATCGTAAAAAGAACAATCTACCAATGCACAACATGTATGCGGTTCAGACAAAGGCCATTTCAACAACGAATGGGTGATCTTCCTAGCTGTCGCTTGCAACCTGGATCAATATTTTTATACGTCGGCATCGATTTTGCTGGCCCAATGCTTGTGCGATCGTGGAAGGGGCGTGGTTCCAAAACATACAAATGTTGGTTAGCAGTATTTGTTTGCTTAAATACTAAGGCAATCCATCTTGAACCTGTGACGGACCTTTCTACACCAGCATTTCTTGCTTCATTTCGCCGTTTCACATCCAGACGTGGGAAACCACTTCATGTTTACACGGACAACGGAACTAATTTCGTTGGTTGTAATCGCGAATTGAAAGAGTTATATGATTTTCTTCACACAAATTATCCATATATTCAAACGGAAATGTCTAACGAACAGATACAATGGCATTTCACACCTCCGTCCGCACCAAACTTCGGCGGCATATGGGAGGCAGGTGTCAAATCTGTCAAATTCCATATGAAACGTGTACTAGGCAATTCATCTACAACGTATGAGGAGTTAAGTACTTTGCTGTGTCAAATTGAATGCTGCTTGAATTCTCGACCATTATGCCTGAAATTCGAAGGAGACATCGACCCTCTAACACCAGCACATTTTTTAATACTCCGCTCAATGAAGTCAATTCCAGACGAGAATTTAATTGATGTCAACGTTAATCGCCTAAGCAGATGGCAATACATACAAAGCCTAGTTCAACAATTTTGGTCTAAGTGGTCTAACGAGTATCTTACCCAACTTCAACAACGGCCAAAGTGGCGTCGGAAAATTGAAAATCTACAAATCGATGACATCGTTCTCATAAAAGAGGAAAATCTTCCCCCTACACAATGGCTCATCGGGAGAATAATATGTACTCATCCCGGTAAGGACAATATAGTCCGAGTAGTTTCAATGAAGACGACAAAGGGTGTCCTCAAACGTCCAATCTCGAAGGTTTGTCCACTTTTCGTAGATGGTTGAAAGGGATCCTTTCAAGGTGGGCCGATATGTTTATGACCGCGATCATTATATTTTATTATTTTATACTTATTTTTATAATTCATAATATTGATTTAACATACATATAAATACAACATTGTAAAGATCATTTTTTTGAAACTTTGGTAACACTGTGACAGACGAAAGGGAAGGAAGAAAGGATAGACAGAAAACCAAGTAGAGAACAACACTTGAAACCACTAAGTTCATTACAGACTTTATACAACTTATATTAAATGTAAAACCAGTGAAATAAATAATTTTATGTTCTAATTAAAATACAAATATCCGTGTTTAATTTTATACAGTCCGCTAAAGAATCGAACATCAGATTTTATACAATAGGCGAATGGATGCACAGATGCTATTGACTTTTGCTCTTCCACAAAAATTTCTGCTTCTGGCATTCGATAGACCTTTAAAAGATAAGAAAGTAGTTCAAGAGAAAGGTTTTTAGATCTAGCTATGTCCGTCCGTCCGTCCATCCATCCATCCATCCATCCATCTGTCTGTAGAAAACACTATAAAGTCTAAACTGGAGAATCTTAAGTGCTAATGAATCAAAATCTCTCATAATTATTGGTTAATTATTAACTCGGCACTTTATATAACCGCCTCATAAAGAGTATCATATTATTTTCTTTATTGGTCCTTCAAAACGATTTCAGTAAAGACGCTATTCTCTTTGCTAAACAAGAACTAATATAGCTTTCTTCCACATAAACTTCTGATTCATAATTTCGGAAAACTCGAGATTGGTGGAGATTCTTTTTCATGTAGTATTTTGGTCTATATGAGAGTTTATAAAAGTGGAAAGCGAGTACTAAAATTAATATCTTCAATACATCAAACCTAATATTCATTTCCAAACAGTTCCATAAGTAATATTAAAAATTCCCTTAAATATATTCAATATTTACAACAAAAGAAATAAGTAGTGAATGACTTAAATAACGAATATAGAACAATAATAAGTTATGTAATTATTTGAACAAAAGCAAAATTTTGAAATACATACCAATTGCGTTTGCTAAATATTTAAATATTTTTTCGTTTTTTTTTTTTTTGTTTGTTTTGCATTAACATATAAACAAAAAGTAAATTTTAAATAAATTAAATGACTTAAAATAAAATAGCATTAAAATTATGTATATATATTTGATAAATGTGCCAATTATAATTAAATAAAATAAAATTGTTTTGGAAAAAAAAAATCACCTAAAAATAGTATAATACCCTTCCGATAGTGTTTTGGTGCTTGTATTTGTTACGGTTACGTTTAAGTTTTTCCCTTAAAGGTTTTTATCACGTTCTTTCAGCATTAAGTGTATTATTAATTAACTTACCTTAAACAAACTGCCACAGCTAATGCGACGACTAGCGGCTGGAGAGGAGCTTAGGAAACGTGTATGTTCCGGATCTAAACTTAAATAGTTTGGATTGAAACCGGAATGACGACGATCCTTTTCCTTGTCGAACTCACGCACTGTTAAGCTGGCAGCATGACTGGAATGTCGCCGTATCTCCGTTGGTACACGCACCGTCAGCAGACTATTACAGGCATCGGGATCTAAAGGCCGTATAGCATCTCCTCTCAGGGGGGTGGGTGGTCTAACGACAACACTTATCTGTGGATGATGGGGAGTTACATCATCAAATGATTCTTTTTTACACGAGTCATCAAAAGTAATGCGCTTTACATCTTGTCCTGGTCCTAGCTTCTTCGGTGATGTGTGATTGTTGTTGCTGTTGCTGGCCGCTGAGTTAGAGGTCTTCAAACAGGATGTATTGGTGGTTTCACTAACTTCAATCCTTATGGCTGTGGCTGTTGACAGATCATCCTCCGATTGATGGCCGCTGGTCGTAATGGTGGTCGCCGTGGTCGTTGTTGTGGTCATTGCTCCATCTAATGATAGCTGCTGTTGAGATACAAGTTTCGAAGTTGTTTGTTTAGTTTGTTTAAGGGAAGTGCGTTTTTTGGTACGCTTTTGGTTTTTAATTATTTTTGTTTTTTTTTTTTGTGATTAGAGTTAAAGAAAAAGAAATCATAAGGTTACCTTAATGATGAAGCCAAACCCTCATATTTAGGCAAAGTTGTTTCAACTACACATCATACACTCAACGAATTTGTAAATTGTAAAAAAACAACTTACCTTAAAACTTTGTCTTGCTATATCGTTACCTTCCACAAATTGTGCCAAGGAACAAAAGCGTGGCGGTTCACGTATCTTCTGGTCATCGCAACGATTGTCTATTTCGAATACAATGTTTTCAAAACCAAATTGTTGGGGATTGTCATCGCTGTCCATATGCACGAGACGTGGTCCACGTGGGGGAGATGAATTACGTCTACGTGGTGCTGTACTTAAAGGTTTTTTAGCTCTGGCTGGTTTGGGTGGTGGTTTAGCTGGATTGGCAACATGTTCAGAACAAAGTGTGGTAGAATCTTCGGTTATGGTATTGTCTTGCAAAGCACTAGTTATATCGTGACCCAAAACGGAACTTATGTCATCCATAATACTTTCACCTGGCATATTTTCCGTTTCATCACTTGTCTCCGGAGAATCGATGTGACAAAAGTCGGCTGAATCCAAATTCTAAATGAGTTAAAATTTATATAATTTTAAACCACGAAGAAATCGATCTTTAATTTCTATACAAACCTGCAAAAAATCTCCTAATTGCAAAGCGGGCACCGATGGTTCCTGTTTGTCAAATATTTCTGAACCTACACTGATTTCCTCATTACTAATGGCTGACAAGACATCACTGCCATCTATCGGTAATTCCTCAGAGCAAGAGCATTCATCCTATTATTGAAATAGAAATATTAATAATGTTATTAAAATATATGTTCACTTCCTTAAATTGGGAAACATACAGTGTTCCCATCTGTATCGATTATGGTTATATTTTCACTTGTATACACATTATTAGGATCTTTAGGGTTTGTATTATTATTTACGCTGGGTACCTGTAGCTGACAAGTGTGTATCAATTGTCCCGCATCAAGAACTTTATCTTCCTCATCCAATGTTTCTTTTTGCTTATTCAGCTCACGACTCATGTAGTAGTTGCGTTCGAATACTTCGATGGGCCGATAATCGGACAGAGGATCAACCATATGTTCACTGGTTATAATGGGTACTTTTAGGAAATTTCTTTCGGTTGGAGTGGTGGCACCTTCGCTGCCAGGCGATAAACGATTACCAGCATCGTCAATATTGGCCCCACCACTCAAAGACATGCGATGTATTTTGTAAGTGGTCTCCCCATTGGCATTTTCCTCCTGTTCCTGTATGACTTCCGGTACGCCCGAACTGCGGCGACTATCGGCAAATTGTCTGGGCACTGGTAAACTGATGGTATTAAAGAATTGCTCATCCATGGATTCACGTCGTGTATCCGGTAAGGGTGATATGCATGTTAGACGTGAGGTTTCCATGGTGGGTGATATAATGTTAATGGGTGGTATTATGGGTAATGGTGAGGTGCAGGGTGTAGAATCACTGGATGTGGTAGTGGGTATCTTCAAGGCTTCAAAGGGGGTAACGGACAGACGGCGCTGATAGCGTTTCGGACGGCCAGGCTCAGAGTGTTCAACAACATTATACATGGCACGCTTAACACTATTAGCACGACTTTGTAAGGCCTCCCGTTCGTTGCCCCGAAGAGAGCGGCTGTTGCGTCGCTCTTGAAGATTTAGTTGATCCTTTTCGTTTTTTTCAATTGATATGTTTGGATTTCTAAAAAGAGAATACCGTTAATATGTTTAAGCTATAGATATCTTCGATACTAACAATAAAGATGTGGATGAGGCCGATGGTACTGGTGAACTGGGTGCTGATTTTGCTATTATGCTGCTAATGGTGGCAAACAAATCATCACCATTATGTGAGCCATTCTCTTCCTCTTTTAGGGCATCCAACAACATATTAAGTTTTTGCCTTAAAATGTCACACTTGACTGTCAATTGATCATCTTCTTTACGATGTTCACACATGCGTTCCAACAAATCGTCTATGGTTTCGCAAAGCGTTTTTGTAGCCGACATTAATGTGGGTAAATCATCGGTTTCCACAATGGAGCGTAAGTTTTCATTGGCTGCTGTAACCATGCCGGTTAAAAGAGCTTCCTGTTCAGAGGACAAAGACATCTTGGGTACTTTTGGTTGCATGGAAATGGCTTTCTCAAAAACCATAATACTCCAACGATCTAACATTTTAGTGCTGGCGGTTTCATAGCGTTCCAATATTTGCGGTAAATGGGCATCATCATCGCAAGATGAACCCCAACCCAAGACACGGGCCAAGTCATTGCCGGTACCCAAAGGCAAGACGGCTACTTGACATTGTTTCTAGGGAATTGAAAATATATTTATTAGAACTCATTTAAGAAGTTTTTATACCCTACTTACATGCATGCTAAAGCGATCGATTTCACTTAATACCCAACCCACCGAACCATCTCCGGAACATACTAATATGCGAAACATTTCGAAATGACGAAACAGTCTTAAGCCCAAACCGGGGCCAGTTGAAATCAAATCAAATACTTGTGCTGGATTCAAAAGTTGTTTAAAGCGTCTTAAGAATTTAACACCCTGATTGTCTCCCGACTTGGAATTCACAAACACCAGTAATGGTGAAAAGTTCCCCTTTGGACTGACCACATCCCAAGAATCATCATTGCCTATGGAATGCACACAGGTGGGGGGCACCACCGATAGCTTGGCTGGACCCATGGGACAAGATATAGCCATATTAGGACGACAAGCCACATGCACCGTGGTGCGACACCACAAACAACGCCAGTCCTGCAAACGCAATACGGAACCACAAGTCTTCTTACACACTGCACAGGTGGCCGATACCGGTAAATTACCCTCCATCCATTGATGTGGCATTACTATACTACCCTCTCTATCTTCTATAATATCCTTACCCACCGTCGCCAGGGTGGTCCATTTGCAATTGGCTATTGCTTTGGCAGCACAACGTTTGTGTACCTTACACTTACACACCTCACACGAGAGTCCATGTGAAGTTACCCCGGAGAGTGCATCTCGGCAAACATTACAGTATGTGGGTCGGGCATGTGAGGTAGCATACCAATGATGATGATTTGCAAATATATCATGTTGTTCGATAAAGAAACTATCACCTCGTGACCTCGGTGGTATTGAGGCTGATTTCAGTGATCCTAACCAGTCTTCCATTTCGCGTCGAGTTTCGGCACACAGTACTAATGAACGAGTGGGAGTTATAACCTGTAAGTGGAAGAAACAAAAGGGATTGGGTTATTTATAAAATTTGGAATATGTTGATTTTCAAAATAAAGTGTTTTAAAATTTAAAATTAAATTAGAAAATATGATAATATGATAACGACACCTACAAGTAAATCAAAATTATTACAAATTTCTGAAAACAATAATGATTTTCATCATAAATTTATAATAAATAACTATTTATATCGTATGACGCTTTCACCTAAATACGCTTCAAATAAAATGCATGTTATGTTTTTGACATTGACAGACAGACTGAGTGAGTAAGTGAATGACTTCAACTATATGTGACTTTCAAGTAGGATGACTAGAAGTATCTTAAACGAATCATTGTATTCGTCATCATAAAACCTTTCCAGAGTAAAAAAAAAATTTTAAAAAATAGAAAACCTCACCCTTAAGTTGTTATATCAACTTCATGACTGTTATTTTACTTATTTTTTTCTTTCTAGCAGATCATTCACTTAACAAGTACCTCAACATAGCACAACCATCACTTCAAGATATACTAGAGGCAACATATGTCTTTATTGTCACCCAACTCTGTTTCAATATATCTTGTTGGAGGAAAAAAAAACGACGTATATTTTTGTATATAAATTTCGTTTTATCAATATAAAAAGAGACATTTTTTGCAATAAATTATTTATGAATAACAACTAGCACTGCATGTAGTAGATGACAAGAAAAGAAATACTTATGAAACTATGTACATATATAAATTATAAGAGTAAAAACTGTATGAAATGTTTATTTTGCCTGACTTTATGATATTGTGTTCAATATAAATTGAGTTTTTTTTTCACTGCTCCTCACGACAACTAGATATAATGATGATTATATCATAAAATGCATTTACACAATATTATTGAAGTATTGTGAATAATAACAAGTTTGTGTGTGCAAGGAAAAAACAAATCCTTAAGGTATGAAAAAAGGTCAAGTGATGACAAAATACTTAAAATTGAACTTGAAAATGATAGTACGTTATAAGTACTAGTTCTAAAGAGAAAATGAAGACTCATTAAAATATGATGGTGTATATTTTGGATATAAGTTGTGATTCATTCTATGCCACTTTTTATACCCTACACCACTTTAGTGGGGAGGGTATATTGGGTTTGTGCTGATGTTTGTAACGCACAATAATATTGGTCATATACCCACCTTAAAGTATACCAATCGGCTTAGAATCATTTTCTGAGTCGATTTAACAATGTCCGTCCGTCCGTCTGTCTGTCTGTCTGTCTGTCTGTCTGTCCGTCTGTCTGTCTGTCTGTCTGTCTGTCTGTCTGTCTGTCTGTCTGTCTGTCTGTCTGTCCGTCTGTTCAATGAAATTTTGAACATGATCTTCTATTGTACTAGAGACGAATCCTATTGAAAATGGATAACATCGGTCTAATATTTGACCTAGCCCCTATACAACTGAACTCCCCCAATAAGGCTTTTAAGTTCATAATTATGTTTAATATATTCGTATCTCGACAAAAAGCTGCAAAACCAAGTTCTATACTAGCCTTCATGACCCCGATGAATTTTTTGATGATAGGGCCTCATTTGACCCTAGGCCCTATACAAAGTCCCATTCGAAATATGACTTAAATTTACTCATATCTTTAATTCAGTCCTGAGGATTAAAGTAATTTTCTGAAGGTAACCGATAATGGGGGGGTTGGATCAGTTATCGACTGATCCTCGTCAAATTCAATTAAAAAATTTCAGTTCCTATAAAACTACCGTAATTTGGAAGAACTTTTGAGCAATAGATAAGCGTTAAAGTAATTTTTTGGAGTGAATCTTCTATAAGGGTCAATTATAGACCGATCTTAATAAACTTTTGCACATATATTATGTTTCGTAAAGAAGTTAAAGTCATTTTCTGAAGTGGTCATTTAGTAAGTAGTAAGATTTCAGTTCCCATAAAACTTGTTTATCTTAAATTTCATATATCTACTCGCATTTTAATACCAGTATTGAACATTAATGGCGCCCTCCTTAAATTAAGAATTAAAATTCATAAAAATATTATTTATGTCGAATTTTCGATTCAGTATTGAGTGTTGAAGTAATTTTCTAATGGGGACCTTTATAGGGGAGGTAGGATAGGAGCTCATACAAAACTTGTTTATGTGAAATTTCATCGCTGTAGTCGTATTGGATCGTTACAGTCAGTAATGAGCGTTACAATCATATTCTGAAGGGGACCTTTTATGGAGAGTGGGATCAATTATGGACCGATCTCCATACAATTTGATAAAAAGTTTTTGGCTGTAATCGCATTTTTGAGTCAGTAATTAAAGTTAAAGTCATTATCTGAAGGGGACCTTATATGGGGGTCAATTATAGACTGATCCTCATATAATTTAGTACAGAAGTTTTGGCTCATACGAAACTTGTTTAAGTCGAATTTCATTGCTGTACTCACAATTTTAAGCTAGTAATGAACGTTAAAGTCATTTTCTGAAGGGGACCTTATATGGGGGGTAGAGTCAATTATGGACCCATCCTCGTAAAATTTAAAAAAAATGATTTTTGTTCCTAAAAAACTATTTTATGTCGATTTTCATTGTTATATATGCTTCTTAAGATCAGATATGAGCATTAAAGTCATTTTCTGACGGGGACCTTATATGGAGGGTAAAGTCAATTATGGGCCGATCCGACAGTTATGAGCGTTAAAGTCATTTTCTGAAGGGGACTTTATATGGGGGTAGGGGCCTAACATTATAAAATGTTTGTGCCGAATTTCACCGCAGTAGATGCTTCTTTTAGCCACTAATTATCGATAAAGTCATTTTCTGAAGGGGACCTTATAGGCGAAATCGTGAACCGATATTTCCAATTTTCAAAACCAAACAAACTACATCAATTAAAAATATCTGTCTAAAATTTCAGCTCGCTAGCTACTTCCATTTGGACTCTATCGTGATTTCAACAGACGGACAGACAGATAGACAGACAGACAGACGGACATGGCTAGACCGTTTTATAATCTAATAAGTACCCAGAATGTATGTACTTTTATGGGTCTTAAACGCATATTTCGATGTGTTACAAACGGAATGACAAAACAGTATACCCCCCATTCTTTTTGAATAAAGAAATAGCTATCTGAACTCCTTTGGACAATTTCTGCTAGGACCAATAGGTGAAAGGTTACATTCTTTTGAATAAAACCCAAAATGTTCAAATTTGACCCTCTCTAAGTCCGGCAGTTCTTGACTGATAGAGCGGAAAATTTGTGTATGGCCTACTATCCTATGTATAGTACTAACCTTGGTGCAAATTTCATCAAAATCGATTTTTTGAGTTGGGTCACTTGACATGACATAACATATTTGTTGAGTTTCCATAACTAAATTTTGTTACATTTATAAATGTCAGGGACAATTTGATCAAAGTTGAACCCAAATTTTTTATATATTTTTTAATAAAATAAATAAAATATCTTAATTTATTTCATAAATATATCCATTTGAATCTAAGTTTTATTCGGAGCCAGATTTCTTTTCAAAAAATTTTCCATTCAGCCCTTCTGTGAAAGGAAGCACACCTATAGCTTATGCTGAATGGCTTCCACAGCAAGAAATGGTTTCTGTGGTTCAGATGTAGTGACACGGCAGACAAAGATCGCCCAGGCTTTATAAATACTGTTTTAATTCGCTCGAATATTATTTATTTCGGTTGCTGCAGAATGTTATTTGTGATATATTCAAATTTAATGTTCCATGAAAACACATTTTCCAGACATTATGTTTTACAAAATGTTCACTGCTTTATAATGATTCAAAAAATATTTTCTTTTTTTCTTATTACCAACAAAGACGATAATGAAATTCCATCTTTATTTAAGCAATTAAAATTCCCCTCAAATGACTTCTGTAAGTTGTTGTATACAGACTCATAATTGTCTTTCGAGCCATTTTAACTATTTTCGCTTCATTACAATTTAAATCATTTAAAAACTTTACCATAAAAAATGTGCTTTTATTTCAATGAAACTATGTATGATATTATGTGACCTTTCTCTAACAATTAATTTTTAATTTTATAATCGAATACTACTATTCGATCTTAATCTTTCTTCTTCATCACATGTCTTTCTTTTATCAGTATTTTTTTTTTTTTTTGACCCAACATTGACCGTAAATGTTAAACTATTCACATGTTACAACAAACAACATGTGTGCCGTAGTGCCAAAGGATATTTTATTGGCATGTGTGTGTGGCTGTACTTAAAAGGACGTGTGAATGTGCTCTCTATGGTTTATTGTATACTTTATGGTTGTTTTGTTTTAAATCAACAAAAACTTACAGCATGCTTATGTGACCTTTGGTCAACATCAGCAACAACTACAGCAAAAGCATCAACATTCGTTATAATAACAATAACCGTGGTACATATTAGTTAAGTGTAGCAGCAGCATAAAAACAACAAAAAATAGTAAAGAAACTCATTATAGTTTGTGCTTTTGACATTATGAATAAATAGCGGCTCATACTACAAAACCTTAAACAAGGATATGGTTACAATAATACGTTAATTAAGGTGGGATATGATTTTAAAATATTTTCCTCTTTTTGACTGATTACAAGGTATTTGTTTTAGTTAATGTTATTTTTTACATGACTGGTTTCATTTTACACAAACATGACGAAACATGAGCCAATTTTATGTTGCATTATAGTTTACAAAATAATTGCTTCATTTTGTTGCAAAATTATATTACACCCTAAACATGACTGGGATCAAACAGGATATTTTTAATGTAGTATGTGATTAAGGCTGTATGTATATATTTCGTTGAGTGTGTGTGTTAGTGAGTAAATGGATTTGGCAGGATATCCTATGAATTATGTGTGCACTTAATGCAATTTTTTTCAGGGTTTATGTTGCTGTTCATTTAAACAAAATGTTGAAATATAACTTAATAAAACCGAGTATTGATTACTTGCTTATTAATTTGTTATTGCTGTTTG